TATCTCTTCTTGGCTCTAAATACTTTTCTAATTATCGATTGACATCTATCTCTTCTTGGCTCTAAATACTTTTCTAATTATCGATTGACATCTATCTCTTCTTGGCTCTAAATACTTTTCTAATTATCGATTGACATCTATCTCTTCTTGGCTCTAAATACTTTTCTAATTATCGATTGACATCTATCTCTTCTTGGCTCTAAATACTTTTCTAATTATCGATTGACATCTATCTCTTCTTGGCTCTAAATACTTTTCTAATTATCGATTGACATCTATCTCTTCTTGGCTCTAAATACTTTTCTAATTATCGATTGACATCTATCTCTTCTTGGCTCTAAATACTTTTCTAATTATCGATTGACATCTATCTCTTCTTGGCTCTAAATACTTTTCTAATTATCGATTGACATCTATCTCTTCTTGGCTCTAAATACTTTTCTAATTATCGATTGACATCTATCTCTTCTTGGCTCTAAATACTTTTCTAATTATCGATTGACATCTATCTCTTCTTGGCTCTAAATACTTTTCTAATTATCGATTGACATCTATCTCTTCTTGGCTCTAAATACTTTTCTAATTATCGATTGACATCTATCTCTTCTTGGCTCTAAATACTTTTCTAATTATCGATTGACATCTATCTCTTCTTGGCTCTAAATACTTTTCTAATTATCGATTGACATCTATCTCTTCTTGGCTCTAAATACTTTTCTAATTATCGATTGACATCTATCTCTTCTTGGCTCTAAATACTTTTCTAATTATCGATTGACATCTATCTCTTCTTGGCTCTAAATACTTTTCTAATTATCGATTGACATCTATCTCTTCTTGGCTCTAAATACTTTTCTAATTATCGATTGACATCTATCTCTTCTTGGCTCTAAATACTTTTCTAATTATCGATTGACATCTATCTCTTCTTGGCTCTAAATACTTTTCTAATTATCGATTGACATCTATCTCTTCTTGGCTCTAAATACTTTTCTAATTATCGATTGACATCTATCTCTTCTTGGCTCTAAATACTTTTCTAATTATCGATTGACATCTATCTCTTCTTGGCTCTAAATACTTTTCTAATTATCGATTGACATCTATCTCTTCTTGGCTCTAAATACTTTTCTAATTATCGATTGACATCTATCTCTTCTTGGCTCTAAATACTTTTCTAATTATCGATTGACATCTATCTCTTCTTGGCTCTAAATACTTTTCTAATTATCGATTGACATCTATCTCTTCTTGGCTCTAAATACTTTTCTAATTATCGATTGACATCTATCTCTTCTTGGCTCTAAATACTTTTCTAATTATCGATTGACATCTATCTCTTCTTGGCTCTAAATACTTTTCTAATTATCGATTGACATCTATCTCTTCTTGGCTCTAAATACTTTTCTAATTATCGATTGACATCTATCTCTTCTTGGCTCTAAATACTTTTCTAATTATCGATTGACATCTATCTCTTCTTGGCTCTAAATACTTTTCTAATTATCGATTGACATCTATCTCTTCTTGGCTCTAAATACTTTTCTAATTATCGATTGACATCTATCTCTTCTTGGCTCTAAATACTTTTCTAATTATCGATTGACATCTATCTCTTCTTGGCTCTAAATACTTTTCTAATTATCGATTGACATCTATCTCTTCTTGGCTCTAAATACTTTTCTAATTATCGATTGACATCTATCTCTTCTTGGCTCTAAATACTTTTCTAATTATCGATTGACATCTATCTCTTCTTGGCTCTAAATACTTTTCTAATTATCGATTGACATCTATCTCTTCTTGGCTCTAAATACTTTTCTAATTATCGATTGACATCTATCTCTTCTTGGCTCTAAATACTTTTCTAATTATCGATTGACATCTATCTCTTCTTGGCTCTAAATACTTTTCTAATTATCGATTGACATCTATCTCTTCTTGGCTCTAAATACTTTTCTAATTATCGATTGACATCTATCTCTTCTTGGCTCTAAATACTTTTCTAATTATCGATTGACATCTATCTCTTCTTGGCTCTAAATACTTTTCTAATTATCGATTGACATCTATCTCTTCTTGGCTCTAAATACTTTTCTAATTATCGATTGACATCTATCTCTTCTTGGCTCTAAATACTTTGCTAATGTCTCTTCGCTGAAGGGCTAAATGTTCGCTAGATACCAGTGTCGATGGATTCCTCTCACCTTATAATACTCATGTATGTAAGGATTTTGCCGCAGAAACCTTCCCCATGCCCCTTCACCCTGGGAAAAACAAAGAATATTTCACATAATAACGCAATGATAGAACGTAGTTGTGATCACGTATGTATTGTGAAGTATTCTCAAATTATACTGAACTTTACCCAATATTATCTAATGCAAGGGGGCGACGGGGCCAGGGTATGGCGTCTGTTGTAAATATGTGATTGAATATAGACCATGATCTTCAACAACAAATGTTAAAAGTTACAGTTTTCATCTCTCGTACGGTTATCATAAATCATAAATCACGAGTCTTGAATGGATCCGGAAATATACAAGTTACTAGCACCATCGAAGTAAGTTTAAGGAAGTATTAGTCTGTGTGGGTGGGTGCGTGCGCGTGTGAAAAATAAAGAAAAAAAAAAATATTTCAACTTTATCGAAAAGTCTGATGACAGCAGGAACGGAGACAGCCATCCAGCGTAATGCCATAAACCTAATGTGGTGTATGTCATACGTAGCCATTATGTTGAACAGTATTTGGAGCTGCAGAGGCAATTGCAGCAACTCCTGTACATCCACTTGGTGTCGTATCTGATGAAAATATATCCGACCATCATCTTTTCTAAAAAAAAAAAATAATAATAATAATAATAATGTACATGGCAGTATATAATACTGTACTGAAGACACCGTCCTTTGTTTTTAAATTAGTGAATTATATATATCCTAACTCTACTGGGTAAAAGGTCATGCCAACACAACCAAGAAACAGGTGAGAATCCCTGGTGACCAATATTTCATCAGCAATACTATGAACAGCAAAACTAACATCAGATATTAAACCTGAGGTATACAAAAGAAACAATGTGGGTCCTTGAACACTACTATCAACTTTCAAGAGCACGGCACCATAAAAGGCAAGTTTGTCCAATAAGCAGACTAAGAGTTGACAGAACAATCCACCCTCCTCCAAGTGTTTGGATAGTCTGAACACATCCAAATGTTCAAATATCTTCGGCAGCAAAGGAGTCTAAATAGTATTCAATCATTACTTAGTAATCTCTTGAGAAATGGGGTCACACTAGTCACTCGCCAACATTCCATGAAGGAATCTGATGAGATTAATCTGTAGAAAAGCCCAGTGAACTTTGAAACATGAACAGCAGCAGTGTGACAATAAATTTGCAAGAGGTATCGACAACTGGATCAACACCACCCTACTCATGAGGGTCCCGCAAAATACTAAGCAGTTTTGAGCTCAAAATGCAATCCGCTCTCCCGCTCGGGAAAGACTGCAACGAGGTGTAACGTTACTTCATAGTCTCGGACTTAAAGATTTCAATCAGCATGTCCGTCTTAGAAGCAGGATTAGACACCATAGCACCACTAGACGGATCCAGTAATAATGGTGTATTGGTCTCACAACCAAACATTTTCAGAAGTTCATAGAAGCATGATCAAATACCACGGGACAGATAGATGTATTTAGTAGCATTGGCACACTGGTCTCACAACCTAACACGGCCATTCTAGAACTTTCCACCACCTACGTTAATCATTACCTATAGTGAGTTTGTTCAGCAATTAATCGGCTTAGGTACAAAAAGCATGCATATACATCCACGGGCCGCCACAAACGCCTCACAATGCTCACGAGTTCTTACGTACATTTATCGCGTGTAGGCCTCTTGCTTTTGATCGTGGTCTAATGCTTATCACGAACCATGAATGTACATAGTCTGCACAGTGAGTACACCTATTAAGAACACCATCAAGGAGTACGTCCAGATCAGTTATATATTAGCACATTTTTATGACCCTGCATACATTAAAGATTAATAAAAATGATAAAATAAAATAAGAACCTTATTTTATACATGGACTGTCTACTTGTAAAGCATCGCTGTCTTGTTTAGAAAGTGCAATATTGTCACATTATCACATATAAAGAGGATCGAGATGATTTAAAACATTGAGATGACGGTTTATACTACTCAAGGAAGTTATATACTCTATACTGTGTACTTATATAGATAATTTGAATATTGGTGTGGCTCATATGTGAAGGCGATATTAAGTTTATGTACCTGTGAATCAAGGTCTATACTTATATAGATCAGGCCTGTGTATTTGCTCTACACGAGTGTTTTACACATTATTTGGGCTATAAATTGATTGAAAAATTCTCTTTCAGTGAAATATAAGGTTTTTGCTATCATTCGTTTTTCTTTAAGTACACAAAGTAGCATATTTTTGTTTCGCAGATCTCGAGTACATTTCCGAGCCTGGAAAAATCAAACATACAGCAGTTTCCCCTCAAACGTTGACGTTTTTCTTATGAAAACGAAAAACTGTCGTTTTCTTTGACTGTTGCAATAAGTGTATACTCTATTTTATTAAGAAAATGTTTAATTATTATGAATGAACAAGTGTACAGTAGCGTTTGAAAGGTAAGGCAATCTTTAATTTCTCTTGCTGAAATTTGCTTACAAAATCTTGAATATTGGATAGCTTATATTGATTATTTTAAAAAATCTATTTTGTCGATTCCAGAGATTCACATAAACTTTGTATATAAAGGGAGTTAGAATTTTTGAAAACATACGGAGTAGGGCACACGAATGTAAAAACCACCTGCGTCATCAGTGGGGATATATGCCAAGATTTTATTAGCCCGACATTATTAAAGACAAATTGCATGAAATAGCACTCTTATAAGGCCAGACTCGAATGCGCCGCGCCAGCCAATCAGAGGCGCGGATTCCTGATGACGCAACACCAAAACAAATGACCGATGTGGACAGACGCCTGTGCTCGCCCCGCAGCTGTAAATATGTTTTTTCGACGAATATTGTTCGAATTCTGCAAAGTGAAGAGATGAATAAGTTCACACTCTTTCTGGTGTTCTTGTGCGGGGCAATTTTCGCGGGTTTGGTGTCTCTGATGCACAGTTCATGGCGGTTCTACGCGTCCTCCGAGCTGGCGATGGTGTCCTCCCTCGGGGCCATCCCAGCGGGCTCGGACTTGGAGCTCATGGACGACGGCTACGTGGCCATGGCCCTCCTCGGCGCGCACGACGAGGACCAGGCCGTCTCCAAGAAGCAGACGACGGAGCTGGAAGACAGGCGTAGGTATCGGGGGGCGTGGGGCAGGGCAGGTGGTTCGACGGGCGGGCGGCGGGAAGGTCGGTGCCCGTGAAGGGGTTGATGTGGGATTTAAGAAAGCGCTCCTTTGGGATATGTTTATGTGACTGCATTAAGATAGGAGAAGTCTAAGAACGATGTCTTACAGAGAGGTCAAATCTACACACCTCCATATGTAAGAATTTGTGCAGGCAGCGATTAATGTCTAAAGTTGGGAAAATAGCTTGCGACAAATGCTACACGCAGTCTAGGTATAGAGCCAGTGGGTGGGCACCGCAGGGCAGAATTCCTGGCTAGAGCATGAAAAAGTATGAAATGGTAAATCATTAACATTAATCATTAAATCACTAGAGACTAAATCCCCAAGTCCACGGCACAAAATATATTCAACAATCTAAGTTGCCATGAGGACTAAACGTTGCAGTCTTTGGTACAAGAAATTATATGCAAACAAGAATGGTAGCATTAGATATCAAGGAAATAGACTGGAATGTGCTACTTATAACCCAAGTCCACTCGACACTCCTAAGTTTCAGCTCAATTTTGCAGTGAATAGAGTCATAGTCTCTGGTGTGTACTTCTGTACTGTAAGGAATTACCTATATTGTAAAGATTAACTTCAAATATTTGGTATAGTTTCAGTTTCACACAGCCATATGGTACAAGATAAACTTTGCATTGTAATGGATAGAATGACAAAAAATTAGACATGTTTCATCTATGGTATTTCCTTTGCATGTTTAACCCAATCACCATGGATTAATGTAACATCCCCTGTAGTTTTTAGTGAATTTTGTTACATACAGATGGCTCCATATGTGTTCAGCCAGCAAAGAGTCTAGCAGTGACCTGTCCTGATTTCCCCATTCCTTGACTTAGTTTGAAAATGTTTTTGTTTCTGATACTATTGATATCAGTACTGTTATCATTCTTATTGATATTATTATTATTAAATTGTTATTAAAGTATTAGTAATATTAAAGACAGTGGAATTATACAAAGGCAGTTTCCAAAAATCAACGAAAAGCGTAAGCAGGTGAGATAGTTAGGACTAATAACTGACTCCTTGGTGACTAAGCACTTGTAGAGCCCTCTATGTGTAAATACAATAAATAAACTTGAATTACAGTGGGCATAGCATGTATTCTTGCCACCTGTGCCAATTGGGTTAATAAGAAAATCTAGTAATACACATGTGATACTTTACTTTACATTTACATAATGACTGCTCTAAAATGGGGAATATTTAAGGACACTGTTATAAAGGAAGGGGAAACCACATTCACTGATATAAATATAATAATCTTTACTTACAAAGAATAACATCAGAAATAAATAAGAATAGATTGTGACAAATGCCGTAAGTCCACATGGATGCTGTGGGGATCCAGAGTCAGTGCCCATGGGTTAGGAAGGTTTTTGGTTCATACTGCAATGTTGTAGATACCCAGGATTGGCTAGAGTAATAGAGACTTAGTCTCAGAGGGGTGCAGTCGCTTTGTAAACAATTAACAATACTTTTGCAATGAAAAACAACAGATTCACACACATTTCACTATGAATCATTGTAAGATATATTTTTTAGCATTCTCTACTGGGTATCAGTTTGGTATTTGTTCAGAACACTTATACTGGTATTGAAGAATCCCCTTACTGTGGAGACAACCAATACAGCTCCTCAGATATCAAACATTTTTCAGAATCAAGTAGCCTGCAATTGTATGATACATGCCAGCTTTGATAGGGAACACTAAAGATGATTAAGAATATAATGTGTATTTCTTACCTGTATTGAACAAAGAAAGTTACATAATCATTAACTTTATTAAACATATTATGCAGATTTTCATACTCTTAATTTTTTCTTTCAGATGCTGAGATAGAGGCATTAAATACATTAAAAGCAGCACAAGAATTGGTACACTCAGGAAAAAGCGTTAGAGCTGGTAGGCTTTTGGAGCATGCCTTTTCCTTGGCACCAAGGCACCCAGATGTTCTCATACATTATGGAGAATATTTGGAGCATCACCGCAACGACATCGTGCAAGCAGATAAGCTATACTTAAGGGCCTTGGCTGTGTCTCCTGCTAATTCAAGGGCATTAAGGTGAGACAGGAAAACAAGAAATGTTAAATGTAATAATGTTTATAATTCAGTTTATATTAATTTTGTAAATAGTTGATTGTAATGATTAACTGTTTTATGTTTAAAATCTTTGCAGAAATCGACGTAGAACTAGACCTATTGTTGATGATATGGATGCAGGGATTTTTAGTCGTATTGATGGCAAGAGAGATGATTTAGCGCTAATCCCGAGTTCCTCAGCTTCCCTGAGACGCATTAAAAAGGAAGCCTACTTCCAGTACATTTACCATACAGCAGGCATTGAGGGAAACACCATGACCCTGGCACAGACTCGGATGATCTTGGAGACTAGACTCAGTGTTGGAGGTAAGATCAGTGCTAGGGTATCTAATAATGAATAATGGGATTTGCAGCCTGAAAATTGGAGAACTTGTTATTTTTGTGGCAGGCTTAGAATGTTATAGCATGTGTGTACACTCTCTCTCTCTCATGAAAAACTGTAGTTTATATTCCTTAAGATATGATCTTTACTATTACACACTGAATAATCCATGCAATTTCTAATTATATCTTTCAATCTCTGCAGGGAAGAGTGTAATGGAACATAATGAGATCTTGGGCCTGGACCTTGCTCTCAAGTATATCAACATGACCCTGGTGCACAGAGTTGGCCGCATAACTCTGCATGACATTCTGGAAATTCACCGAAGGGTTTTAGGTCATGTTGATCCCATTCAAGCTGGCCAGTTAAGAACAACTCAGGTGCAGTGAATATGTTTTTCTTTTTATCTTTTTTTAATGTTTTTTTATTGATTTGTGTTTTGAACATTATTTAATATGCCATTTACAATTAGGATTATATAACTCCTTGAATGCAGACTGCATAAGAATACATGAATTTTCTTGTGGGATTCGTTGTTTATCAGTTTACAGTTCATATTTGTTTTTTAAACAATAGTTCTTACTGTACAGTTTTTTGAAAAGGTAATTATGTTACCTCTGCAGATAGCATTTAGAAAAATACTCAATTTTCCATGGTTGTTTGTGGACTTTGATTATAATTGCACCAACAGCTTTCATTACTTTTACCCAAAAACATTCCTCAGTTCATCTGTGGTTTATCTTCAGGTTTATGTAAGTGATCACGTTCCACCTCCACCAACACACTTGCAAGTTCTTATGGAAGACTTTGTGCAGTGGCTGAACTCACCAGAAGCTCAGAGACTCCATCCAATCAAATATTCAGCTCTTGCTCACTACAAGCTAGTGTTTATACACCCATTTGCTGATGGAAATGGAAGAACAGCAAGATTATTAATGAATTTTCTGTTAATGCAGGTATGTTATGTTCATATTTTTTCTTAAACTGCACATTCATGTTTGCTCAGTTGTATGGGGAAAAAAAATCAGGGCTTAGGAAATGGGTAAAAGTATCTCACAAACAAATAGAAATAGAACAAGTGCCAATACTGAGACGACATCACTTATCTTCATCATAGTAATTATCTTCAGTTTCACACACATCAGTGTCAGTATCCATTTCAGATTTGTTCTGATTGCTGCCATCCATTTCCTCACTGCTATGCTCTTTTAGCATTTTCCTTGTTTTCCTGGGCATTAGTATAGTGTCTCCTGACTTAATATATGGGCCCTATGTTATATTGTCACCAATAGAGGAAAATCTGAAAGTGATGGTCGGAAAGAGATATATATTCAGCTGATATGTGGGCTGATGGCACCTTGAATGATAAACCCAGGCTAGGGGTTAAATATCATTATGATTTAATTTTTTTTTGAGAACATACATGCCCAAGTATTGGCCTGTATTATTTTCACTTCACTATCATCCTAAACTGTGGAAAGGTCAAGTATTGTGTATCCTCATGCAGACATACACCCCCTCCACTCAGCAGAAAACACTTTTACTTAACCCCTTAACGCCCGGTGACGCCGATCGGCGTGCAAACAAACCGCTCAAAAGCTGGTGTGCGGCTGTACGCCGCGACGGCGAGCCAAAGGGCGGCGAGCCAGAGATTCAGGCTGATGTCCCCTACTCACGCGCTCAAAGTCAGCGCTCCACCTTTGTATGCTAGAGCGTAGAGTTTTTTTTTGTTTTGTACACCTGGTGCCATTGGGTTAAAATAAAGGGAACCAACAACAATAATGAATGGAAAACAATAACTGAAATTACTGAACTAACACATGCAGTCTCACAGAAGGTTGCTCAAAGTTAGTGAGCCAGTATTTTGGCCAAGTCATTGGTTTAGGATGCCTGTCATGTTAATATTAACTGTACGTGAAGGGCTCTACAGGTCTAAGTAGCTAAATCTATCTTGTCCTTTATATCACTAATCATATCCAAAATAAAACCATTTTCTATAATAAAGTTGAAAGTCAACAAGTGATATTCTGTGTATAACCCTAGTTGATTGATAGGATGAATCAGTAATTTTTATTTTTCTACATATTCATTGTATTGTGTACATGTAATTTTTGTATTTTCCAGGCTGGCTACCCACCTGTAATAATCCGTAAGCAAGACAGGCTCATGTATTATGACTGCCTACAAACAGCTAATGAAGGCGACACTCGGCCATTTATCAGATTCATTGCACACTGCACTGAGAAGACATTAGATGTGTATTTGTGGGCCACAAAGGAAGCCTTACCCAAAATAGGCCAGGAAAATGAAAGCAAAGGTGGAGTGAATAACTTGAAAAAAGACCACCAGGAAAAAGATTATGAAATGGCCGATATGAAACCTAATGTTGACAGTGAGGAAGTCAAAAAGTTTTCCTTTGAATCTGTTGATGACATTCCGCCATGGCAAGTGGAAGAAGAGGACTATAATGAGAAAGAACTGTTCAGCGGAGGTCAGAGTTATATACCCACAAACACTGAAGATGACATACTTAAGGAAGGTTCTAGTCATAGGTCAGAAAGTAGTGTTGATCATGAGCATGGTTTTAAGTTATGGTTTGCCAGTGACGAAGATCATGGAACAGTAAGTGGAACAAGGAGATATGGGAGGGTGCTAAATGAACAAGCTTTGTTTGAAGAAGTTACAATAGAAGATAAAGTACAGGACAAAAGGGACCTTGAAGATGATGAGAACACTATAGCACGTGGTCTTTAGTAAAAATATATTTTACATTTTCTAAGTATATATTGAATTATTAGGATTTTTAGACGTCTGGAAATTGTACATCCATACTTGCACAGCATATATGTATAAAGTGACAATAATATATATATATTTATTTATTTTAAAGAAATCTTTACAATATTGTTGATAGTACTATACCCTAACACACAAACCGTAGCAGGTTTGAGTGCACAATTTAGAATAAGTGTCATATTTGTTGAACTAGTAATGTTTTTATGTTGAGGTTGTATATATTATACAACAGTATTTATATTTTTGAGCATTCATGAGGGATCTATTTATTAAAATGGTGCCCTGTTAACTCCCACTTAAGAAGAAAAATAAATGTTGATATTAGTAAAATAAAGATTTTTTGTATAATATATATAGATATCATACTAGTGCTCAAGAATCATATTATGAAAGTAATGAAAGAAATGCTTATGCAGTATTTTACCCCAATACCCTTTCAAGATTTGTGTAGTTTTATCATTTATATTTCCTTTTCTTTTTTGTATAGCAATATATTTTTGGAGAGATTATTTACATTTTTAAGTGTGAGACATGCCTGAAATTTGATTCTACTGTTTTCTTACAAATTAATATATTTATTTTAGATTGTATCTATTCTCTACTATTTAGAAGAATTTAGCAGGTCTCCACTGTTAAATGTTATTCACTTGATACCGGTACATGTGTTTTTTGCTTTAGTCGGGCATTTCCTTATAATCTTTCGTGATATTGATCAGCATTTATCATGGCTGATTACATAAGGCTATAGGAAATTGTTATCTGTTGAATCCGTTTTTCTGTTCTAGTTCAAAAAGAGAAAGAAAAATAAATAGATAAAAAAGTAAGGTCTGATATGCCAGATTTGTTATTCCAAAATGCTGTTGCTCCTTATCCACACCTCAAACTCTCTCCTTTGGCTTAGATATTAGTAAAACTTTTGCAATTTGAGCAAAATGTTCTTTGATAACTGCCTACTTTTTTATTGCAGATGAATGAATATATTCATGATAATCTGAAAAACCTAGATAGCATATATTCTTGCAAATCTTAGCACTTTGCATCAAAACTAATATACTAGTCCAAATTTATTATTACATTGCATGAAACTTGCCTTCAAATAATTTCTTGATAAGGACGGATTTCTTAACCTGAAGAAAGAATTGATGTTAATAATGGGATAAACTCATTATTAACATGGCATGATGACATTCATCTGGCTTGTTCCTGTGTTCATATTTGACACTATTATTCTTACATGTCTGACACATGAATACTGAATGATACCAAGATTTAATATATTAACCATTCACGTTATATTCTGTAGGTCTGCAGTTAATTTAAGAATACCAGAAGGTGAGGGTTGTTTCTGTAAGAGTAACAAATGAGGCTTGATTTGACCATAAATACTCTACCAGGCTTGGATCTAGTAACAAACACTGGTACCTGGACACCAAAATGTGGTTCTTAGAGATCACATTCTTCATGTGTGTTTACAGATAAGATGGCTCAGTGTGTGGCATTTTACCTCTTACCAGCTTTTACATGGCATGGTCATTTGGATGGTTTGCCTCTGGTTTCTCACTTTTGCAGCCTTTACCTGTCTCACTGTGATTTAGCAGGTTTGTCTGTGTGTGGGTACTGCTCCTTGTGTGGATGGAGCCGTAGATGGAATGAACTTGCTATTAATTATGTAAAATGTGTAATTTGGAAACAAAACTCAAAAAACTCTTTTATACAGGTAGATACTCAAATAGTTTATTTTCTTATATGTAATGAATCAAACATGCATTAAAAATTTATATGTCATGTAAAGGAGATTCTTCCATATTTATTAAAACCAAAGACTAGGCAGGAGTTTAAGTATAATATTTTATGAACAGTATAATACACAAGCATATAACAAAACTCTTTTATACAGGTAGATACTCAAATAGTTTATTTTCTTATATGTAATGAATCAAACATGCATTAAAAATTTATATGTCATGTAAAGGAGATTCTTCCATATTTATTAAAACCAAAGACTAGGCAGGAGTTTAAGTATAATATTTTATGAACAGTATAATACACAAGCATATGTATTGAAAACTGGTTTATTTTTTTGCCTAAGGGTTTCATGATGGAATTGATGTTATTTAACCCAATCATGACAGGACTCAAGTACTATACTGAACAATACTTTAGGGTGCATGCTGAGTCAGCTGCCCAAGAGAAAAAAGCAGAAGCATGGTGAACATAAAATTAGTCTGCTCTGTGTTCTTGGCTGTGACAAACAATTTTTTAGGTAATGAGACTTAAAAATTCTAAAACCTGCTTTTGAGGGTCTATAAGAGAGTTGTCCTTGTGTGATGCTCTGGCATGAATGGGTTAAATTTCATAACATGATGTATGTATAGAAATGTGCCTATGTAGAAAAATGAGGAATAATGATATTGGTAGTAATATTTGTATTGTTGTCATTATTATATAAATAGTGACAAACAATAACAACAACAATAATGATAAAGTTTTAAATGAAGGTTTGCTGGTTATGATAATGAACACAAAAGTAAAGAAAATATACATATTATATGGCAATGAAAGGGGATTGTACACTATTTTACAAGATATTTTTTACATGACAATATATTTTTAATTAATTTTCATTAATGAATATTACTTGGGGAAATTAAAAGAAAATGAATAAGAAAAAGACATTTCTTTATTGCAAATACTATATATATATACAACTCATTCTTGCTTGGAATGTCTTTTCTCTAAAAAGAAACACAAAGGAAAATAAGTTGTGTTTCCCCTACCACTGGCAGGTCCTCCTCCAAAAGAGAAGTGCAGAATAACCTGAATCTTTTGCAAAGTTAACCTGAAACTTGAAGAATAAATCATTTCCATATTTGGATGTTTAGTAGATGACTTAACATTTGGTGTCTCCATTGCAGGTAATAGGTTCTATCTTAAACATTTGCAATAAAAGTGTCTGCTATTTATAATGCATGTATACTGATTCAAGAAAATTAAATAGTATGGATATTTTTTTCTGTGCATCATGATCAGTTCATACATTAGCAATACAAATAATTAAGTTATTCTCTCTAACAATAAAATCCAATAATACGTTAAAATCATGAAACAATTGTACTCTCATACATACATTCATTCACTCGAAGTACAATCATTTTCCTTGGTAGGCAGATTAAAATAAAAATTGTAGTGTAAAACATTGCATTAAAAAAATATACTAAAGCTTTTTTGTTCAAAGATTATATTATTTGCCAGTACTAGGCACCAGTACTGAATACTGACTGATACACAAAATATGTGATTGACACATTTGAAATGTCAATTTAAGACCATTGAACTATCTATAAGTATTTTTTTTTTTTCTTTTATTCTTACTCAACCTCCATTTTACCTTCAAATTTGTTTTTCTGACCTTTATCCTCCCTGGCAGCAAGGCACTTTCGGATCTCTAGTCCAATTGCACGTGCCATAGGTGGAGGGACAGCATTTCCAACCTGAGGAATGGTATTGCTTTCAAATAAAGTAATAGAGGGGTTGACTTATGCAGTAATGTAAATCTAAAATATAACAAGACTTCACTATTGTAAGATTTTCGTGTTCATTAGTTACTGTAAGAGAGCAGATTAAAAACCATATTTGACTTATATTCTCACATGGTTTGTACACATACCTGAAAGCAAAATACAATAATAATGCATACGTACCTGTCTGTGTTTCTCCAAAATTGATCCATAAAAACGGTAGGTATCTGGGAATCCTTGCGATCTGGCACACTCGCGCACACTTACAACCCGAGACTGTTCTGGATGCAACACACGTCCCTGAGAAAAGAAAAATGAAAAATTATCATCTTTTTCTATTTCTTAAAAGTATCTCGTCAAAAGTTTTAAGACAGATTAGACATTTGTTAATACCTGCTTGCCCATTGGTTCAGGATTTGTGACGGTTGTGGAAAAGAAGCCGTCCCAATTTAGCCTGCCATAGAGACCCGACCAGTGGTTGTGACGATTGCCGGTGTGTGGAAGGCACCAAGGAATGAGGGTGTTAAACTGCTTGTCCATCGGATCACATGCTCTACCAGCAGCACAAGCACAGACACCTCTTAGTGCTCCAGTTGATGATCTCCCCTGTTTCTTGTCTGGATGTGTGTACTGACTGGAAATGAAAGAAAAATTACAATATTCAGAAAATATGGAAATGACATTAAAAATCATGGAATTTGGCCTTTTGTCCTTGATTTGAAGTCATTTAATTAAGCCTATCAAAAACTGATGGGTTGTTTTTATTTTTCATTTTGTTTAATAACTATTCTCAACTTTCATGCTCACTGTTTGATAACTATGTGACATAACAGAGAACATATATCATAATTAGTCTTGGTAATTAATGAAAACTTATCTATCCTTTTACTCACCCCCCCCTAAAAAAAAAAGAAAGGAAGAAAGAAAGAAAGAAAAAAGAAAAAGAAGAAGCAAGCAAGCAAGGTTCATCATTCATATATCACAAGTAATTAAAACAATCAGGTTGAACATTAGGTGCTTCATATACTCACAGTTTCTTGGTTACTTTTCCATCAGAAAGAGTCACTACGATGTTTGGCAAGTCTCTCCAGTCAGACCCTGGCACCGTTGGAATGTACTTCATGCGAGCCTCAACCAGAGGTGCCATGTCTTTACAAATGTGATCTCGCAAAATGGGCTGATACTGATCGCCACGGATCTACAAGCAAGAAGTAAAGAGTAAATGTGAAAAAAACCTGTGAGATAAATGATATCATATCAAAATTGGTTATATTATACCATTGTAGACTACAGTATCATATCAAAAAATTTTCAACAAGCCAACATTAAAGAATGTTTTTGAATGCAAAAATGAGTTTACATCCCCTCCAAGCATCGCTATCAATACAAAAGCCTTACCAAGCGCTGGAAATGGGACTCTGGATCAGTGCCATAACTTATCTCCTCCCTGCGATGGCCATTGCGGATTTCAGGGAGGTCTGACATGGTATCTCTCACTGTGATTGTACGCAATGGGGAGGACTCGACCCACTGGGAGTTTGTGGTGAACTGGAAAAGGTTAGAAAATTTCAAATGTAATTAAATTTTTTAATGATGATGATAATTCTTTGTTTATCAGTTCTTTCCATTTCTATCAAAGGGTCTTTTAATTCAAGATTTAGATATACAGTAAAGAATAAAATACATAAAAATAAATTATGAAAAATCATCAACAAACAATACAAAAAAGGCCAGTATAAAAATATCAGACTCATAGTGGACAGACTTACCTTCTTGTTATCTACAACAACAGAGAGATTGCAAGCTCTTGGGCTGAATGTATGTGTTGGTTCAGGATAAAAAGGTAGCTTTTCACCAGGTGCAGCAGCAAGAATGATTAACCTGCACAAAAAGTTGACCATCAATTAGAGAGCTTGACATCAAAGAGACCAAATAATTCAACTTCACTGTTATAAAAATATTTACACTCACCTCCGCCTGGTTTGCGCGACTCCATAATTGCCAGCCTGAAGCACACCAAACGTACACTGATAGCCCATCTTTACGAGAACTCTCATGGTCAACTTGAGCACCATGGAGCATTTGTAAGACACAAAGTTTCGTACATTCTCCAGAAGGAAAAACTTTGGGCGATAGTAATCACAGTAGGAAAGGTATGAGGCCACCAAGGAATTCTGCAAATGAAAAGTTTTTCTTAACTTAACATATAACAAAACACAAACTAATCATTACAAATAGCAATGAGGTATGGATCAAGAGAAAAATTATACTATTTATCGATACAAATAATCTTACCTTGAACATTGAATACTGGCGAGAGTTGAACCGATTCATGCCAGAGAAACCTTGGCAAGGAGGGCCTCCGCACATCATTTCTACATCACCCTTTTGGGGAAGACGCTGGCCTTTCGAGTTCATATTTTCACCCTGTAAATGCAACAAATATATATAAACTTACAGTAATTTATCCTTTATGTAATCAACTATTTCTCTTTTCTCTCTCCCCCTTCTTCATTCCTAACATTCCCAATTCTGGCAAAACAAACACTGGACTGGCCACACCCTCTAACTTACCTCCATCACCATCCTCAACAGCAAATTACAGTCATCAGTAAACACTGTGGAACTTGGGTTGTTAAGCCGATAAGCTTGTGCAGCTGGTTCAAATACTTCTACTGCCCATTTAGACTCGCTTATCCCTGCTTGGTGGAAACCTTCTGATAAGCCTGTTATAGGAAAGATAGATTAGTTATGACCATTCTGGTGTTAAAAAGTCACTATCCATTATTCAGACAATAAATTTCACTAATTAAAGGAAAGGTTCACACTCATTCCCTCTAATTAAGAGGAGGGAAAATAAAAATAAAGACAAACAAAGTGTACCTCCACAACCAGCAAAGACATCAAGAGTCCGCAGTCTTTGGGAAACGGCCGGATATTCAGGGAAACCTTGCAAGCTATTCTGTTCCCCTGCATTGTCTTTGCTTTTTAAGAATAAATTATGAAAATCATCAACAAACATAACAAAAAAGGCCAGTATAAAAATATCAGACTCATAGTGGACAGACTTACCTTCTTGTTATCTACAACAACAGAGAGATTGCAAGCTCTTGGGTTGAATGTATGTGTTGGTTCAGGATAAAAAGGTAGCTTTTCACCAGGTGCAGCAGCAAGGATGATTAACCTGCACAAAAAGTTGACCATCAATTAGAGAGCTTGACATCAAAGAGACCAAATAATTCAACTTCACTGTTAGAAAAATATTTACACTCACCT